ACGGTACCTAAGGAAAACAAATGAAACGATCATGTGTTGCGGCTTAATCAAACGAAAGAAAGAAGATTACAATCCCACAGACCCGACTACTCTATTACACAACTTGTAATATTCTTAATAAGGAACGAATCCTACAGTCAGTACAGTATTAATCCTCAATACACTTACTTAGGCCCACTACAATGTATGTCAGCTCACCACCTACCGAAAAAAACTTAGTTTCCTTCAAAGCACCTTAAAAAAGTAAATCTCAATAGTAACTTTCCCTCGGTATAGCTTTCCAAACTGTCAGTCACTCCCGACAACAGCTACGAAATAATTCTACAAAGTATTCTAGAACATTCTGGGGGCTAACAACACAACTACTTTGGTAGTATTACATAATGATTATGTGACCTAATAAAGTCTTTCAGAAAGTTCCGTGGTATGCAAGTCAACATGTGGTAGCATTCTACAAATTTCTAGATATTTATCGTTACAGGTATATTCCGTAACGTATGTCATTAACAAAGCCATCGAATGTATGCTAAACTGTGAGTAATCTCCCTTTCGGATGCCTATCATGTGAATGTTTCCCACCATAGGATCTTGACGCCATGATTTACGTTTAGCTATGCAGCATGGGAGCTCTTTACGAGTCTTCTCGGTTATAAGATGAACTTCTTACCTATGTACTGCCTGGTTATAAATGTTAACGTCTTTAATTTTAATTTATTCATTTATTTCTTTTTATCTTTCAGTTCAGGTTCCCATTTGAATTCCGTTTCCTGTAGAACAGTTCAGCAGACAATTCTGAATCAAAACATGGAGTAACAATTTTAACACATAAAGCTGGGGATAGTATTTCGATAAAATATTACTGCCAATTAAGTGCTATTTATATAATTTCTTTTGTCCGGAGGATAATAAACGTTTAGGAATTTGATCTCTTTAGAAATACAATGTTAAACCCGTTAGCAATGTCATGAAAAACGTGTTTTTCACCAAAAGAATAACTACATTGCATCGAAATCTTAAAAGTAGAAAATCTTGCAATAGGAGCGTCTCTTGATAAGTCACCTTCAAAGAGCTAACACGAAGTATATCGACAAACATTTGTGGCTTTTGATACGTCCTGCTGGGTGAGGTCTTGAAAATAAACCTTCATAATCATTATTATTATAATCATCACACACCAGGTAGAATGGAAAGTTATTATAGATTATCTATGGCATAAAAGGAAATACAGTCCCTCAAGTTGTGATATCACTATTCATCTATTAAACGACGCGAAGAGGCCCCTAGAGGGGATCGTAAATAGACCTTTTTCATCATATTTTTTGTAATCATCATAATTTTTGTATTCATCGTACCCCAGGCAGAGTAGACAGTTGTTACCAATTAATCAATTACATAAAAAGAATACACTTCGTTAACTTGTGATATCCCTGTTCATCTCTTTAACGGCGCGAAGAATGCGCTGGTTGAGAACTCGTAAATAAACCTCTGTTATCATTATCATTATAACCATCATACCCCACGCAGAGCAGACAGTTGCTATAAACTAATCCTCTACAGAAAAGGAATACAATCCGTCAACTTGTGATATCACTACTCATCTCTTTAACGGCGTGAAGAATGCGCTCGATGAGGTCTTTTAAGTAACTTTATTGTCATTGTAATCATAATTATTTTAACCTAGGAGTAAAGGACGCACGTTGTTTATTAATCAAACAAATGTAAGGCATACCCTTCGTTAACTTGTGAAATTATTGCTCAGCTCTTTATTCGCGAAGGAACCCCTTTCAAGGAGTTCCTTTAAATAGACTGTTTTCATTATAATCTTAATGTCCAGACTCAGCGAACAATAGCTATATCAATTAATTACATACAAGGCATATCCTTCGTTGACCTGTTATATCGTTGTCTAGCCCCTTACGGCCAAAGGAACAACTGAGGTAGTCTTTCAGATAGTCAATCAAAGAAGATAGATCATTGCATGGGGGAATCTTTGACCAAGGAGCTTTTAGCTTTTGTCGCAGTTTTTCATGGTTAATTATTAGGTGAAATTTATTGTTTCAGGGAAAATTTTTTTATAAGAATTAAAAGGTTCCGTACCACATAATTTCATAAAAAAGAAAGCAAATCTGCAATTCAAATAAATGATCTTTCCCTTTATTTGCTCGTGCGATCGTGTGCTACTGCAATGCAGATAACGTTAACTGAAAAATTTTGCAATAACAGAAACCAGCTGCATTTATGCAAAGCTGATTCCTTACTTGAAATAATGAAATGTACACCCTGCGAAGTAGAGCATTCAAATGGCGACTGATCAAAAATATTTACATTTGAAAGCGAGATGAAAATAAGAAGGTAGGAGGTTTACGGTACCTCCAAAGTTTTTTATACTTATCATTGTTTATTCTTATTTATATAAAAAAATGGTATTTCTGACGACTGAGTCTGCGAATAAGGCAGAAATAAATATTTTATCGGCACGAGATACGACAAGGCCTGGGCCTTAGGCTTGAGCACTTTGGGTGTGGTATGTAAGGGGGAGTAAAGCACGTGGTGTCCATCTAGGCCTCAGAACCAACTGTTCACCTCTGGCTGATGACAAATTTATTTTAGTTTGAAAACTTATTTATGGTTCCTACCCATATTTCCTGTCATATTTTTTCCCCAAAGGGGTTTTATCTGGCCTCCGTGTAACCGTAGTAATGTCCTTGTAAGCGGTTGCCCATCTTTGTTTATCCCGAATTGGTGAAGTTTGCATGTTAGTAATGTATACCTATTTTTGAATGTGTAAGGCATTGACTGTATATCAGGATTGTATATGGTATGTCAGCTGCGAATGTATGTATATATGCATGCCTCAGGCTATATATGCCTCGGGTAGGTTCTCGGCAGGCTTCCCTAAATAAACTTATTTGGTGTACACTACTGTGTTATTTGTTGTGTAGGGAAGACTAAATCTTGACATCTTAAACTTTTCACTTCATGAATTCCCTCTAAATATGTATGTGTTACGTCCCTAAAAATATATATATACCTTATTCGATGGTTTAACATATAATATGCGGGGATATTTTGTGAGTTCCGTAGTATTTTTCCGAGCACCGAAGGCTTATTAAAATTCACCGTTATTTAAATTTTTAGGATTTTGATTTGATTTGCTAAGTACATCCTACAGCGGCCTTAACTGTGTATCGTATCGTTCGTATAAGGAGTATTCAAAAGACGAAAACAAAACGAAAGAAACCATCAAAATTGTACTTTGTGACCAACAAAAAAATATGTCGCGCTTAAAAGCTCGTTTCTCTAAAAGTCAAGCCTCAAAAAACTAGCCAAAAAATCAAAGTTTGGATCGTTCAGTTCGGCCATTTTGTTATTCCTTTATTTTTTGCCCTGTTCTTCACTTTAATTCCCTGGAAAATTTCGCGTGCTCTCTATATACTAATGGAATAATAACCAGGCGACCTTTGTTTTTCGCGTTTATATGTGTATTTACTTAATCTCTGTTCAAGTAACTATATTGAGACTAAGCCCTAAGTTTTCACCAAGCCAATCATAAAACTGTTTGTTGGAAGATTGAAAGAAGTTTTTGTTTTAGCTTGGGTTATGGAATTAAGATCAGAATATCAGTTTTGCCGCTATTCAAGTTCAGCCGCACGAATTTTTCGGGGAATAAATTTTAGGAACTGCTCAATTCGTGTCGAGTAATTCGCCAACGGTTTGTATTTACGAATTAATTTGGTCAAAACAGGAGGTAGAGGGAGAGAATTGGCCGATATTAACTGATGATTTTGTTGAGCCACGGCTGTAAGAGGATCCAAGTGGTTACGAAAACTCTATAAATATATATTACACTTCCTTACATAACTGTCACGACGTGAAGACAAACTCTATGAATATGCTTACCAAAAACATTTTGTACTTCAATGCTACAACATCAAATTACAAGTGAATAAAATATTTTACATAAATACTTAACTTAGGGTGTGCAATTCTACTTTTGTGTTGTATCGCAGACAGCTAAACGTACACTTTTACCGTACTTACTACGTACTTACGTACTTTACGGTTAATGCCATTCCTCTTACAAGCTATCTTACGATAATTACAAACTTTTACAATAATCAATGAGCACAGGGCAGATATCTCTATCTCTTGATAGGTAGCGATTTACCAGATATCTCTGACTTTGCTTTTATCTAAGGTTAATGGACTGCACTGCTGCAAATAGCATGCACTCTAACATCAGCAGGGATGAGGGATTAGTCCTACGTAAGAGAGGTAAATCAACTTAATTTTTTTCATTTCTACGATATCAAGCAGTATAGCAGCCTTCCTTTATGGGGAGTCACGATACAAGGTAGTTGCAAGTTAAGTTCGCATATCAGAGTCAAGGTCCATGAAACTCATAATAATTTATTGCAATTAAAGCCTGCGCAAAGAAGAAGCTCCCCAAGGTGGAAAAAACAAACATCCTTTTCAATGGGATTGTGATTTCAAAAATTTGTTATGCCCTTTTGATTTATGCAGCTAGTATTTCTGACTTTACTATGCAAGGTTTTTTAAAAAAGATTTCACAAGAACGGCGACACTTCAATAAGTCATGATATTCACGAGCTTTAAGATAATAGAGACGGCTGTCTTTTTAAATGACTTAAAATATGAAGACTATCCGTTACATAGTTATTATACCAGAGATATAGAATCATCTGTGCGCCTTTGAAACAGATCCTGGTGAAGACCAAATGTAAATAACATACGCTGTTGTTGTGGTGTTTCTTTAATATATCTACTTTTAGGTATAATATAGCTAAAAAGATGAAATCTTAAATCTCTCATTTTCGGCATCCAGCATGTAACATCTTGATGTGCATTTTTCTCACTACGAATAAAGACATTACTATTATTGTTATTATCATTATCATTACTATTATCGATATTATCATTATTATTACAACTATCACTTTGCAAAAAAAGGCTTATACGTGCAACTTCTTCAAATGAAATCATACTGGTCGAAGTTTGATCTCGATGTGTTTTAACGAATAATCTTGTCCTCGAAATGGTGCCCACGTAATTCCTTGTGCGCGACTTCCACCTTGGTACAAG